TATATATATTATAATATAATAATATATAATAATATATAAAATACTATACAATATATAAAATGTATAAAGATTAAACTAACCCTTATCCTCGCTCAGAACCGTTCTCAGTTGAACAAATGTGCACCAAAGTATGACTAAGTTCGCCACACAGTGGGAATGGGCTGATTCAAAGTCTAAGTGTTGATCTGAATGCGGTAACTTGCAATGGAACTTGTGTTGACAGAAACCCGAGGGGCTGGGAATCATGTGCAAATAATCGTTGTCTACATTTCATAGTGAGCATAATTTTATCACAAAAACCGTTCATGGTGCTTGGTATTAATACATTCCGCATTCCTCAATCTACTCATGTCATTCAGTTTTCTTCGGCTCTTTGACGGAGCGTAAGTTCGAAGGAGACCCGAGGTAGCGAATAATACCAACCCTGATGAATGGATTTCCGAATCTCTGTTTCCCTTTTTCAGCCCACTGTGCCCTACTTACTGCAAAATACTAGTCAAAACGGCAGCAGATGGTGGCTCATATGTCAGGCGTACATGAGCTTTGTGTACAGTTTTTTTATCCAGAAGACGCTGTACATTTTGCTGAATATACGGAATAGAAAATTCTGGTTTGATGGATGGTACTTGAAAAGGGCTTGGAAGTCAGACATAGACTATATGTCTGGTGTTAGGCTGCAGCGCAATAACAACTCGGATGCGGATGAAGAGGATTTACTGGACAAGGTACAACCTCATTTATCTCCCGTCAATATCTCTTCTCCACATCAAGGAGCTGACCACCCATGCGCTTGCATCCACTGCCATTTTTTGGGTCAAAAACGTGCCAGGACGTTGTCACCAGGGTCAGTGAGGTCACCAGACCCCACGATTTCTGATCTATACCACTCCAAATCCTTTACCCTGTCACCCGATATCAGCCAACGAGAGATACTTTCCGATTCATCAGATGTTGCTATACAGTCCATGGAAAAATCACCAACTGCGGGTGGAGTTTGGGCTTGGGATACAAAGTACATACCACACCAACGCCCACAATCTCCTTGGCTCCCTAGTGGAAGTCTTTCGAGATTGTATCTTAAAAGGTACACTTGTCGTTCCTGTAAGCACAGAAGAAAAGGCACTGTACGAAAACGCTTGAAGCCCAGTAACCATATTCCATGTTGCAAGGATGCACTGCGAAAGCGACTTCATCCTAAGTATGTAATACTACGGTCAGCAGAAGCCAGCCCTCATGACTGGGAGTTTGAACCCAAGGAACGAATTCCCAGAATGAATGAAGAGGAGAGTTTTTATGGGCACTGCCAGTTACTCGAAAAACAACTGCTAACATTTGGTGACAGTTTGGTGGATCCACGCTCGAAATCAGTAGACGTGAACTTTGGTCTTGTCATCTCACCACCACCTGCTGGCCGGTCTATATCCGCCGGCCAATATCAGTCCAAACCCCGACATATTTTAACGCCTACTTCAGAAAAGGATGCAACCTCCACAAGTGCTGACGCCAGGTTACTTGGTTTTGGTTCACCGACAAAGGTCTCGGTTGACAGCAGGTCAAAAACGCCGGCGAAATACCCACTGAATCTTATACTTCCAGTACTCAACCCTCCAATCGGACCCACTAGCGATCAGATGAATCGCATACTCCGACGACATTGTCATCAGCGGGTGATTGCATTCAATGACATTGATGGACTATTCTATCCTGGTAAGCAACTTATCTGCTTCCACTTCGATTTTGTTTTGAATGTGAATGTAAACTGTTCAGTTTTTATCTTACTTGCAGACGGAGTCGACCCACGGCCAGTTTTTTTCGCTGGAAAACCAATCTTACACTGGAGCATCACTACTAGTGGTTAGGAGTCTAGGAAGGAGTGGGATAAGTGAAAGTCATCCAGTGTGCAAGTATCTAACAGCCGTTTTCTTTTTCGTCACATGTGGCAGCTCTAGTGGTCAGTTAGCAGTCCTTATCCCAGCCCACAAGCTATGTTACCATACAGCCGCTATACCGGAACCGAGCCAGTAGATTCTCATGAAACCGGTCAGGAGAAGGAACAGTAAAAACATCGGCCAAACAACCGCAAAACCATTTGTAGATGCTTCAAGACGAGAAAACCCAAAACATTAAATATCCGCCTAAATCAGATATCACTGTCGGTTAGGCTGACAATTTTGCAGAACACCTTTTCCAGTTTTGACGTTCGTACTCTCTATAATTTGAGTAAATTTAATGAAACCTCTCATCTGCGGAAAAACCATTCTAGTTAATCCACTGAAAGCCTAGTTATATTGCCCTATCATTTCGTCGAGAGGAATATCACTCATTTAGGGAAACATGCACATGAAATCACAGAACAGTGATTCCGCCGAAAGAAGCCCACAAAACAGAGTGGCATTGCACAGCATGGCCAATGCAGTGGTATTGCGTTCAGAACCTCATCAGCTGTTTCTGTCGATGGTTTATACTGTATAGCGAGAGAGGACAGCAACACAAAGGCGATTGGGAACGCATCACAGTGGAGCACACGTGGTCTCAGTATAGTAGTTCGAATGCTAGGGCAAGAGGCTTCAATGAAGATTGCCAGGTGTTTACACAGAACAAGATTACGTGCTGCCAATTGGAAGGGGGTTGATTAAGAGCAATGGTTAGAAAAATTGTGTCACATTTAGTAGATTGTTACGGAGGTTTAAACCGAATAGTCTGACTGAAAGATGCCATAAGACACTTAGAGCAGTTGAAAGCAATGTTGCCTGAGAACATATCCGTCTCGAATTACGGAGAGGTGCAGGAAACTGGGGCCGAAAAATGTGCTACATAAGCCTATCTGAGTCACTTCGCCTTTTAACTATGGTATCATCTCTCCCTTAATCACAGGTAAAATGACGGTTGTGGTCACCCCAACTTGAAGTGGTTTTGGGTTGGTATTTATCAATCAGGAGACTCATGCTTCAAGCAGAAAAGGCAGATGTGAGATGTCTGCGTTCTAGGAATCCAACACTAAGCTTTTTCATATATCTGCGGATCCAGATACTCAGGCAGAACAACGAAGTAGCTGCTCAGGCACATTCCTCAGCACTTCCAGTGATGGGTATTGGATTGGGCCATGCTCAAGCCGAAAACAAAAAAGACATGCGGAAATTGGAGCGTAGAGTATCAGCAAGCAACACACTCACGTTCATCTGAAAACCATGTTTTGTATACAAATGGAAATTGGTAAAAATTTTCACATTCCATAATTTGATTCTTATATCACACACTCAGAAGCAGATGCTAGAACACAGGGTAACTGCCTTGCTAAAACCACCATACTCGTTATTTTATTCTCTGCTCTCTTTTGCACACCTATCCCATACCCGTGACAATCTCGGTAAACTTTTGCGGGCTTAAACCTATGCTTACTTCCATCCATTTTCACCTCCAGCAATGATCTTTTAAGGACGGCATTATTTCCCTGACCAATACTCTGACAATAGGCCTAACCCAATCACCTTCAGACTGCCAGTCCGTAGTGTTGCCTTGTGTAAACACTTCGCAACTTTGTTTAAAAATGTTTCCTCTGCGCTCGAAACTGAGACTTCTGAGGTGTGATCCCGATCACTTTTGTATCTCCTGCCTTTAATACATAATATAAACCACAATCTCGGTAGAAACAGCTGATGAGATTCCGAAAGAAATGTCACAGCAGCTGACTTGCTATGCGTTACTACTGTAATGTCACGCTCGAAGATGAAGTTAAAAAGATCTTCCAGAACCCATCTTGGTGGCTCGACAATCCCCGGTCATCGTTTGTGTAATGTTTTTCCCAACGAACTTTTCTCGTCATGTGCACTTGTGAGATGACGCCACCTAGGTGTTTAGACAACGAGATGTTCGGTTGAAAATCAGTTTTTTGGGCTGTGTATATACAGCTCGCGTTTCGTAACTCAGCGGCATTATTAATTGCATGCATATCTTCATTAAAATCCTGCCTTGGAGTGGCCTTCCATATGGAGTACCAAAACTGATCGCCTTAGGGAAAATGAGCATTATGAGCAAGGTTACTAGACTTACACTCCACTGGTGTATGGATGATTGTAGTATACTATATTGCAGGGACGGTTTTATCGAAGCAGATCTTACTAAACCTTTACATGACTCTGGCCTTACCAAATGTCGGTAAGTTAACACTCAGCGACAAACATGTGCTTAAATATAATGCTTCCAGTTTTCAATTAATTGAGAAATGTTTGGGACCGACTGGGAAGTCATCGTTTCAGAGGGGTTTGGTGAACAATCGGTGGATTTATTGCTGGGCAACGTTTCGCTTTTGACACAAAAGTTTCGTCAGGCCAAGTGAGTAAGTAAGTAGGTTGATTGGGTTTTAGGGCAGTCGGGGAACCAGTCCGTGAGATTCCTTATGACTAGTGACGTGATCAGTGCTGGGTGTTCAGTATGATGTTCCTGTTCGTTGATTAGTGGGGATGACTAATATTTACGATAGATTGGTTAGGGGGGATTCGTCTTTATGATGAATCCGGATTTTTTCGTCCCTGCTTCTCCAGTCTAGGCTACCTTAATGAAAAATTCCTCTTGGGGTCGTTCACAGATTTCGTTCACCTGTGTTCGTCCAAGGGTGCTGGGACAATGGTTTGGGGATGGGGTTGGGGTGGTTAACTGGATCTAACTCTACTTAGATTTTGTACTTTTGGACCCAGGCGATTTCGCTGATAATTGCACACCGCCTCGTGTCATCTCGGCTGATCTAGGACCGCTCTTCACACGTTTGCATGTTCTAACCCCTCTATTCTATTAACACTTGGATGCTTGGCGATTTCCACCGCCTCTACCACCAGTCGCTGTGGTGTGAATCTTAAACCCCGTCTCAGTATGTCCACATTTTCTAAGTCTATCCTATGCCCAGTATCTAGAGCATACCCTGCCATTGCTGAATCTTTGGCTAACGCCTGGTATTCCTCTACGTTTCTCGGTGGTCTGTTAATGGAACGCTTATGTTCACCGACTCTGGTGTGCAAATCCCTGGCTGTCTGACCTATGTAAACCTTCGTACAGTCGTTACATTTTATTTTGTATGCACATTTCTGAGTCCTATCAACCGGAAGGCGATCCTTCAAATGCACCAACACCGAGCGCAAAGTCTTCCCCTTCTGGAAAGCTACTCTAGCGTTAGTCGTATTCAGTACCCTTCTAATGATTTCAGATGTCCCTGCTTTGTATGGAATAACCGCTGCTCCGATCCACTCCCTGTCGGGCCTTGGTTTTGGCACCAATACCCTTCTTAGTTGCCGGTTAATTAGACCCACTGGGTATCCGCTATCTTGAGTCGCTTTTTACCTCAAGTTGTGCTGTTCTGCACTGTGTACAGAGGAGGTCGACCGAAGAAAGAGAGAGGCATTTGAGATGCCTCTGAATGAGCCTGGGGATCTAGCTTCGCATATAAACAGGCACTTCTACAGCTTGTGTGTAATAAGACGAATTAGGGTTGCACCTTGGAGTAAAGGCTTCGTGGAAATTAGTCTAGTTTCCTAGTTAATGCGGCAACCATTTACGTGGGTCGTACGCTCATTCATCGACAGAATCTAAGCTGTATGACTGCTAAGCCAGCTGATCAGCTCTGATCTTTAAACGACCATATAGTAAGATATAAGGTATCACCATCCCTCAAAAAGAGATAAATATCGTCTAATTAAGTCTATGAGAAAGCGGTATCATTATGGATGAACTTAATTAGATTATGAGGTTATAGTGTTGTCAAAAACCGATGAAGTCACAGAACACTCCACTTGTTGTTTACCGACCATCTGAGTTTGATCTTTCGTACCCAAGAAGGAGTGGATAAATTCACTCTCGAATCCCTCTCATCTGGAACCCAGCTGAATCTCCCGTTTGTAATGTCTCCAGGCAACGGAATGTGCTGCACCAGGCTGCTTCGTGTTTCAGTCGCTACGGTATTCGAGATATCGCGATACATGTACATACGTGTTGCATTAATCATAAGGTTGCTGAAAATTCTTCGGCAGCCCACGACTGGTTTCGCCCTTCTTGCGGCTTAGCAGGCAGGCGCAGTCTCCGAGTTTCCGTCAACCTTATGTTCTACTTGAAACCAGATTGCCTGGAAATACCACAAACGAGAGATTCAGCTGGGTTCCATATGAGTCTCTCGTAAAACCAAATTTGTTTACAAATGAGTGTATTTCGCTAACCTCGTACGATTTGGTTTCAATTAGGACACGAGGTTGACGGAAACTCGGAAACTGCGCCGACTTGATGAGCCCCAAAAAGGGCAAAAACCGGTTGTGGGCTGCGGAAGCATTTTCACTAACCTTATGAGTAGTACATTACGTATATCCTCCAAAACCTCTTCCTACCGTACAACTTTAACCTTTTTGTAGAAAATTACTGCATCCAAACCCTCAGTCAAACTCGGGCACGAACCTTAACCCCAATTTCAGACCCTCTATCAAGAAGACTATGATTATGTGTGGAAAGAGACCAAGTTGTCGACAGTTCAAGAGAGTTTCACCTGGTCTCAAACCCTCAGTCAAACTCGGGCGCGAACCCTAACCCCAATTCCAGACCGTCATCAAGAAGACTATGACTATGTGTGGAAAGAGACCAAGTAGTCGACAGTTCAAGAGAGTTTCACCTGGTCGAAAACTGACCGTGTACTTCATTGGCACCCTAATGTTGGATGCGTCTGACTACAGCGGTGTGTTTGACCAGCAAGCCAAAAAACGTTTATCAAGGGATTAAAAAGCCCATAGGAAGTCTAGATGATAGAATGATTTTAGCGTTACAGGAAAAGGTCCAAAATCTCCCGCTCAGTTCTTCTGAAAACACAAGCAGTCACGATCCTGGCAATATCCCAAGTCTGTTTGTCAATGTGCAAGAATGAAATACGAAATGAGATGAAATAGGAAATAGCATAAAGGATTAGGCCTAACGGACCTTCTGAAAAAAATGACTTAGGGTTTGTTTGGTTGTCACCAAGTTTCAAGTTCTGTTTGGGGAACCACTAGACTTCTTTTCCTTCCTTCACACACCTTCCTTTCCACACCAATTGTCTACCACATTATTTGGGTCCTAGTAGCATGCTCTGGCATGAGTGATGGTATATAAAATGGACCCTGCAGCGGTCTACCATGATCAAGTTAGCTTGCCAACGCAATCGAATTGGTCTCGATGTGGCTCTAATTGCAGTTGTTTAATCGGTCAGTTAAACATGCGGTTGGCCAACAACTAACTGTGTACAGCTCATCAGACCCGGAGATCCAGATAAGATTCAAGTGAAGTTTGACCTCATACACACCCTTAGGATTAATGCTTTCTAAAAATGCATTGTATTCACATTATGCGCACATTCATTCCCACTATAATCCCAAAACCATATAGTAAATATAATTGAAGTGGGAAACTTGTATCAAAATTAACAGAGTATATAAAAGCGGGTTCATGATAAAGCACGTGATAAGATAAAATTGGCACTAAGCACAATATTTTTCGTAAAAAACATAAAGATCATCCATTTTTGTATACGCTGCGTAAATATCCATCTGTATACCAGATATGACAATCTGAGTTTACTGCAAATACGCCACAAACAAACAGTGAAATTTCACTAAATCAAGTGAGCGAAATTCCTCTTCTTATCTGTTTAGGAATATTATCCGTTTTACTGTCTCCAAAAGCTGACTTTATCTTATCATACCTTTTATCACAGGCCTTGTTCAGAAGTGTGTGACACCAGAAACATCAGTCATTCGGTTTCGTCACAACGGTCTATTTTCCGAGGTGCCGAATATGCTAACCCTCCCAATCCTCGACATAGTGCACACACAGGCACTAAACGTGAGCGTACCATATATGTATCTAAATATTATGTATATAGATAGATTGATTCGAAAGGACTTTATGACTCTCGAACGCTATTATTATTAGCCATTTATTATTAGTAGTGATGTTACGGCCTCCGTATTTTACTGAAAGGAATTGTAAGTGGTAAAATGCAAAAAATTTAGTTCCGTGTATCAATACGTAAATAGTGCGCAGGGTATTGCTAAAGTTGACCCGTTGTCGACATTTCATTCCACATAGCTGTCCCTGATTGGACTGGGCCCTCACTTAAAGACCACCAGACAGTATTACGCAACATTTCGAGTGCTTGTCACTGATTTGGCTTAGACAACCAAGAGGTGAATTAAATCTGTTCGACACGTTATAGGGCTCACCAATTTTTGCTGTTCTTCTACACTCCCAGTGAATAAACATTCAGATTATCCACTTATCAGTCATGGCATCTCCTTAGTGATTCTATAACACAAAACTCTTAGGTTCTCCTGTTGCGTGCTTTGAGAATGGGGAACCCTGCTAAGGTCACTTTATTGTCCGGGGTTCAAATCTTGGCACGGCCATTGGATATACACTGCTGATGAGCTCTAATGAGAGCGAAACTCGAGTGCAGTGCTTCCCTTTGGTGTGGCTCACTGGATAATTACCGCAGAACAGGAAAATGGCCGTTCAAACGAGAAGGGTGTGACTATGACCAAAATACTTATCCCGCAAAACCCTAAAACTGCAACACACGAATTCTTGTCATCACTGGCTGGCTGTGAACTAATATATGTGCCCTCATAGAGTTAACAGTGCCTGGGTTATCTACAGTTTGCTTTGTGGAAGACTTTGGACAAACTCCTAGGGTCTGAATTCATCGCGGTATTTCCAATCGGAAGTTACTGTGAAATAAATAAGTACAGCGAATATGAAACCAGTCCCGGCACTCACCTGGAAGGACTCAGCAACCGTTGTAAGCCTGCATTCTGGACGGTCAAAATGGTTCAATTTAACGCTGGCATGGTATGGGAAATCATAACTACTACTACAACTTAAGGTTCCAGGTGGATGGGTCAGAATTAAGAATAAGGGTGACTTCCTACATCACACTAATTAACGGGTGTCTCTTTACGGTTTCCCTTGAGAAGCAAGTGGAAAAGATTGTCAACATACTAACTCTACGACACAAACAGCTAAGTTTCTTCCGCGATCATCTGGTTGTCTGAATGTCATGCACACAAACACATGTAACAACATGAGAAACAAGCTTAGTTGTCGCAAGCGGTAAGCAGCAAAAAACCCTTATATTGTGATAATTGCGATTACTGACCAAATATGGCTTACCACTTGAGGAACCAGTGCTATACACAAACACATTCTCTCTCTATTGGTAGGATCCCTTGTGGTCTGCAAATTGCGAAACTAGCTGAGAGTCAACCGGTGTTTTTAACTTTTGGCATCGATACTCCACTACGACCAATTAGGTCTGAGAAAATTTTGGATAGGACATCATCGGTTTCACTGTTCATGAGTCTCCTCTGGTACACATAATCTCAGAATTCCCAACAGTCTTACTCCATACCAAAACACCAAATTTTACTTACGATGAGATAAAGATTCAATTAAAAGTTAAGTTGGTGTTAACAGGAGAAGTAGTTGAAATTCACAATAATCTGTCGTACCTAATGCTCCCCAAATAAGCGAATATACGATCATCTACAAACTAATTTGGTTTTTCGAGAGACTCACCTGGAACCCAGCTGAATCTCTCGTTTGTGATGTTTTCTGGCAACTGAATGTGCTGCACCAGGCCGCCTCATAATTCAGTTGGCATGATATTCAAGGTCTCGCAGTATATTTTCATAAAGGAAACTACTCACAAGGTTGCTGAAAACTCTTCGACAGCCCACGATCGGTTTAGTCCTTCTTGGGGCCTATCAGGCGCAGTCCCCGAGTTTCCATCAACTTTATGTTCTACTTGAAACCAAATTGCACGAAATTAGCAGAAATTGGTTTCAAGTAGAACATAAAGTTGACGGAAACTCGGGGACTGCGCCTGATGGGTCCCAAGAAGGACTAAACCGATCTTGGGCTGTCGACGAATACTCTGCAAATAAGTTTTTCTGCGTACGTATGATTTGGCGTTCAAGTACAAATTAAGGCACATGACGATTCGGGGACTAGAACTACCAAATAAGTAACAAGAAGGGAGAAACCAAGAGCAGGCTGTTCAAAGTTTTCATCATATCCTAACTGAGACAGGCTATTTTTGTGAAGCATACTTGGTTGGAGAAGACCATGAACAAGAGGTTTCTGTGAATTGCAGTCAAGTCTCCTGTCAGCAAGAAAGCAAATAAGTATTTTTTTGATAAAGCAAATGATAATTTTTTGCACCTTTTTGACATCCCACTATTGTGGGTTGCAAGTCGGTAAGGATATTTTCTGTCATCTGAAATGATCAGCGTAGTTCAACTCTGATTCGCAAACGCAGACCCCCGCAATTCATGTCACTCTCACGAAGTTCATTCAGTGAACTTTCTCAGTCAACGGATCAGTTCTTTTGTCACATGTGTGGAGCTTGTTTTAATTTAAAAAGTGCTTTAATGTTGAGAGAACAAACCACACTTTGTGTGCCTTGGCTTCAGGCAAAGAGCGTCTGAATCCCGGAACTGGCACTTATCTCAAAAAACCTGAAAGGCACTGCAACAATTTCCGGGAAACTGTTTGGCTAGGTACTCAGTTTAAGAAAACTCCCATGTCCGGTTCTGCTGTTGAAAGAGATGAAAAACCTATCAGATGTTTGCCAATGACATTTATTGAAATGACAGTTTTTGTTGTGTGCCTTAGATCATCATCATATTTAGTTCTGTCTTACTTCTCACCCGTCAAATAATACCATGTGTGTTAGTTGGCACTACCATGTTTTATTGACGCAACTTAAAACAGATTTCTTTCATTCAAGGATGGGGACACTGCGTTGGTACGCGTGAAAAATCTTAACACAAACTGTGAATGTTGGGTTCCCGCACGCATAATCGGGGGCTTTTTGGGCTCACCAGATCCCAGCTTTCCACTCCGCCATCGGTATCAACTCAAATTGTTCAGTGGATCAAAGGTAATTACTGCGTGCAATTCATCATTAGGCACTGTGGGCCTGAGTGTGGTTTGTGTGGTTTGAAAGTATTTCATCCTTCAACATGCACGTGGAATTTGGCTTTTCTAACAATATATAGACCTAGCCGATTGGAACGTTAGAAACTGTATGACATATAGATGAAAACTAGGAAAATGTGGCTCCAGAGTCCTTCGCGCATTGGTGGGTGACAAAACCCCCAGGTAATCAATGAAACCGTTGGACTCTGAACTGGAGACACAAGTAGTAAAAAAGTCACGCTGCCTAGTAAGTGTCCATTATCCCCAGTACCAGAAACAAACAAACAAACTGCACAACCACCAACCCACCGCTACGCACTACTACGCCCCCACAGCAACGCACTGATGATGTCATCTCGATTGGTGATGAAATGTTTGCAATCAAATTGCCCAGCTCAGCGAACAAGCCAACGACCACCATCATTCTGGGAGTTTGAGCAAATTACTATGGTCAATGTGGTGAGAATAACGGGCGTAACTCACCGGTGGGTCATGGATTATTTACTATAAGGTGAGAATTATTCCAACAACATCGAACAACAATATGGCACAAGAAGGATAGTTGGAATTATGACGCCATGTTTCATTACGGGGGCCACTTTTGGTTCACGGTTGAGTGATACATTGACCTACTTTGTATCTTTCAGGTTATAGTCCACTTCGTTTACAATCTCATTCTGTTTCGGCCCGTCACAAACTTTCGTTGCCTCATAGCTGTGGACTGTAGGTGGACTGTGGTTTGCCTAAGTGATGTCTGGGTGACGAAAGTTTGGCACCAGTCCCCTTTCTTCAACTGTTTTATCTCTCTTACTTTAAGACATTAGAAACCATTGAATAAACCTTGTGGTCGTGCAGTAATGAAGCAGTAGTGTCAACACCGATATTGCTCTCTCTGAGGATGATGATGTTGGTGATGATGATGATGATGATGATGATGATGATGATGATGATGATGATGATGATGATGATGAGGATGATGATGATGTGGTATTCTCGATATCCGTCATTGGTCATCCCCAGATATCTCCATCTTCCAGATGTGATTTAGTGCTTACAATCAAGACGNACCTACTTTGTCTCTTTCAGGTTATAGTCCACTTCGTTTACAATCTCATTCTGTTTCGGCCCGTCACAAACTTTCGTTGCCTCATAGCTGTGGACTGTAGGTGGACTGTGGTTTGCCTAAGTGATGTCTGGGTGACGAAAGTTTGGCACCAGTCCCCTTTCTTCAACTGTTTTATCTCTCTTACTTTAAGACATTAGAAACCATTGAATAAACCTTGTGGTCGTGCAGTAATGAAGCAGTAGTGTCAACACCGATATTGCTCTCTCTGAGGATGATGATGTTGGTGATGATGATGATGATGATGATGATGATGATGATGATGATGATGATGATGATGATGATGATGATGATGAGGAATTCTCGATATCCGTCATTGGTCATCCCCAGATATCTCCATCTTCCAGATGTGATTTAGTGCTTACAATCAAGACGGTCGCACTTCAATGTTTACAAAGCTTGCTTTGTTGACAGTTACTCTGAATTTCACCTGCCTTTGTTGTCAGCAACAACTAAGCTATCACCGTCAAATCACTCAGCAGACTTACGAACGATGAAGCTGCCTTTCATTTGAGACAACTGGTCATCATCTTACAGTTCAGCCTCACTTCACAGTCAACTCCTTTATATTTATCTCTCAATTCTGTAGCCCGTAGCTTTCTGAGAACTTTTCTTCGATTTCACCATCCTCAAGTTTTCGTTATTTTATTTCCACCATCCTTGTAAATGGTAAACGCGTGCACGAAATTGGTTGATCATAGAGATAACCACACCCTATAAAGCTGTCTTGCCAACCATGCCGTCTTCTACTTTCCCGCCAGCTCTCATTGCATTATCCCTTTCTTAGGTTAGATTAACTGCGTCAGCTTGAAGTACTGCCATTCAAGACACGAAGCCAAGGATAGGGATGAATACGCAGGTCGCCCGACCGAGCAAAGCAATGCGTGCTGTACAAACAAATATCTGATGGCGGGCGCGCAAATGAAAGCGATAAAATTGGGCGCACTCAAAATTGCAATTCATGCATTTCCGGAAAATTCGCTGATTTCATGAATTTGCAAAAATCGTATGTGTGCGGGCTAGCCAGCCACACTGTTTTTGTCACATAATCTGTGAAAGAAATGGACGACAGACTCAGTAATGTAGACTTACCAGACAAACAACACAAAGACATGTCATTGGTGAATGAATGTGAATAAACATTATCCACTATTCGGTTTGTCTTCGCTAAAAATATCTCCTCTTCTAGGAGCTAGTTAGCCAGACGTGTACACCAAGGTTTTTTATTCAGGTATGGTTCATGAATTCCATGTAAAGCCTGGTCGACTCTTTGATCCGCCAACATTTTGTCATTTGATAATCTCGCGTTTTCTGAAAAGCAAAAGTAAACTGTATGAAACGGGTGGAACAAAGGTTAAACAAAAGACAGAGAGAACTAGACTTTTTGATACCTCCGTTCACACGGACTACATAGTCAAAATGTTTTCCGTTTTTGTTTTGTTCCCACCACCCATACATGTTTTAATGAGAGTAGGGGGCTTGGCGGTTTTGTTGTTATTCATGACGTCAGGGAAATTAAACCTAGCAATCAAGGTACAGGCTACCTTATAATCTGTCTACATGACAATCAAATTCAACGTCATTCACCTATGAAAATGGTAATTTTCTTACTTTATGTAGCATGTTTTCCGTCGGCGAGACGTCCTGCGAATCAGTCCTCTATTCTACAAAGGTCTCTTGGACTACATCAGAGCAAAGCGCGGGTAAGTCTGATACTTTGTATGGGTTTCTTGCCTCCTAAATGCTTAGCAAAAAGGTTATGCATTACGTATATTTCGCTGAGACTGGGTAATTAAGAATGATGAACTCGTGTAGCAAGTTCTGTCTCTTCGCATGCAGATTAGCTGCAAAACAGTAGTGTTCTAGATTCGCTGTCGTTCAGTTAAAACACCGGGTCGATATTTTTGCCCAATATATGCGTAGAGAAGACTACGGTAACCTGACTCAAAGAATTTTAGGATCACCCCAGGGAAGGAGAAAACTGTTGCTATCTTGGAAATCACGAGAAGGCCATAGAGTAACAACACTAGAGATCAGAATTTTGTCTTCCATTCCAGACCCCGTTATGATACATCGTTTTGAACTTTCTGTTCGATTTAACTGAGATAATGCTTGTTATAGGACAGATCATTTCCCAGATCAAAGTTGTCTGCTTCTTTAGAATAGGTTTACAAAATGGTGTAAATAGGAAGGAAGGCTTCAAACAGCTGTGTTCTGTGGTTTGGGTTTCGTTATCATAAGTGTTTTGTGCTTTGATCTTGTCAACTATCACTGCGAACATTTACTAAGAAGGATGATATTCTTCATCCGTGCTCATAATGAAACATCGCACGCAAACAAGTGACTGTCCTCCCACAAGACGTATACCTGGGAAAGCTAATTTCCTAAAATGTTCAGGCAGAAGCCTAATCGATGCATGTTCTGGCGAAGTGAATCGCCAAAATCACTTTTAGGAAACGAGTAACTCGGTCCACATCATGCAGCTGTTCATTACCAGTTGTTCCTTATTTCCCCTGATAAGCCTAATAGCTGGTCTTTTCGGCTACTCTTTGAAAGTGGTCAACCTCTCATTCAAAAAGCCTACCAAAGCCTTGAATGCTTTGTGTTCGGTCCCATTCAAACACGTCTACCACACTACATGTAGCGGCTTAGTTTCGGTTGAGCTCGAAATATCTTTGATTAAGACGCGAGCTTAGTGACCGCGGGATTCGTCGTTCTACCCCTACCCTGGCATCTCAGCTGCTTCTTTTGGGGTTCGTAAACCTGGCACCTAGGCACCGGCAGTGTGCTCCAACTGAACAATTATTTCTTTTTAATTTTACGTGGCTTGGAGGTGAACCGGTACGCACACTGTTCTGGTGAGACCCAGTAATTGTGAATTATTCTTGTGCTAATTCACTCGATTAGCTGTTTGTAATTGCATAAATCACGTTCACATCTGTCTCGTTTGAACAGTCGTCCTGCCGTTCTGGCAAAATTATTTTCGTGAGTCCACGCCAATAGGGGAGAGCCCTGGACTCAAGTTTCTGTCTTATTGAAGCTCATCGTCAGTGCATATCATTAGGCATGCGGATGTACGAACCTCGGACATCCGACATGCAAGGCGAATGTGTTAGCCCTAATCCACCAGCGCACGGTGGACCGATCTGAACAGGAAAATGTGTTCACGCTTGAGCAATGTGACTGGTTTGCCCAGTGCCTCGAACGACGACTCGGTAACTGTCCTGGTTGTGTCGATCTATATGCACTGCTGATGAGCTCTAATAAGGACGAAACTTGAGTCCAGTGCCTCCCCCAGTTGGGGTGAACGCACTAGAATAATTGTTCCAGAACAAGAGGACAACTATTCAAAGGGGAGTGATGTTAACGTGTATTTTCTGGATGCCATGATACAGAACTAGGTAAAAAGCTGCTCACATCAAAGGCAATCGGTTTGGCAACACAAAGGTGCACACAAAGTTCACAAACTTGAAATTACTTGAAATTACTTCGGCACCTTACTCTAGCAGCCAGTCGAATGACTGTTTACATTTTTAGTTACAGAATCCACTGATAAAAGCGTACGAACTCAAACGCACGAAGTAACAATCAGATTCAATTTGGGTGTCAAAGTCTTCCACTAATCCTCTGAGTGTAGTTTAGTAAAACTGCAATAAATGAACATAGAACACCGGGACAAACCACATATACTGGGGCTTTTCATCTTCATTTCGCATGATCCATGCTGGGGGGTTAAGAGGTTTCACATATGGTAAGGAGAAAAAGTAACATCCTGTCATCAACCGTCGAATGCCGTAATACACATCAAGCAGACACCATAGCGATGCCTGTGCGAAAATGTAGTAGTTCAGACAAATCGGACTCAATAGGCTGTAATAATCAGTGTTCAAGAAATTCCAGTCACCGAAATCTAAGCGAGCCAATAACTCCCAATGGAATCAACAAAAAATGGATAGCGATTCCGACAAGAACATGACCAAGTCCTGAAAGTTAGAATTTTTAAAACCTAACCCTCTGTCTACTTCCAGTGGTGATCTGCCAGATCAACCGGCAGCAACTGGTGAAGAACCTGCAAAGCCTAAATTGAAGCTGCGCAAACGTCAAAAACCCCAGTCGGCTGCTGTATCTCCGCGTTCCATTCCAAGGCCTCGACCGAAGAAAGTGAAAAAAGAGGTAGGTTTGTTCACTGTCATTCAAAGGGTCTATGGAAACGCTGGACAAGTCAACACCGGTTTCGTCCGAGGCTGCTAAAGCCGAGTACACGTCCAGTGGGGCGACTCTGGAATTTCAAAAGAAATAGGATAGGCAAAAGCGCGTGCAGATTGATCTTGCAATATCTTCGATAAGTCAACTTTGTTGGCTTACTGTTTCCCAGCCTATTGGCTGCATTTGGGTGTATCAGCGTGAAGTCTACCCTTGTATTACATTAATCGGCATCTCCAACAGGACAAGCGTTGACTACAATCATCCGTCCAGTTGCGCAGTTCTTGTGTGGTCAAAAGTTGTAGGTACATTGCAGTACATAAAGTGACTGGAAACATTTCAGCCTGGATGACTGAAGTGTCTCAATCCTGAAACTAGTCTCGTCTCATGAACGTGCTATTTTGGTTCAATATAAACTAACCATGACCATGCGGATTGATAAGTCGATGGAATTAGCAAGGTTATCAAATTTCGGCCGCGCCAACTTTCTGCTGATTAGCCGAATAGCTCTACTCGATGATGCTCTCGTGTTTCTTGTCCCAAAACTTTTGTTCAAAAGGTTGTTTGAATGGATACACCTATGGGCTTTATCTGAAAATACACCGATATTAACAGATAGCATTTTTAGTGCCAAAGTTAATGAAATCTCAAGAAAGTCCGCTACCTGTTTCGCCCCTCTTGGAGCCTATCAGATAAGTCTAGTCCCGAAATTCCACATGTAATCATGAAAAGCTAATAAAAAGACAGCTGGGTCTTATCGGCTTGGTACTGATCAAGTACAGTTTCAAGTAGAAATGAGTTGCTTTGTTGACGGTGCTCTTATGTCTCACAAAGAAACGCGATACGGTTTTTTGTCATTCGGACACCAATGCTGAGTAGACAACCATAGTTTGAAGCCGATTCTCGTTTGGTATGCTCTCTTACTCATCTAGGCTGTATTAGTCGATACATAGTAGCATCCATCATAGAGAAAACGGAGTACCAGTTGACGGTATCGTTGTATACCGTGTACCAGATGTAAACACAACGGCAGTGAAGAAATCGCTGAAGCCCCCTTTGCTGTTCCACCGTGAAAATCCACCAGTTTAGCCCAGAGATGACGGTTATGGATATGGGGAAATCACAGATGAATTCACCCAACTTGGGCTTCATGAGTGAGGCAGTTGTCAGCTTCATACAGTGCATGTGAATTTTTCTCACAAAATCCGTTTTGGTGAAGGAGGTCTTCGTGAAACGGTTATATCAAGACCGGTGGGGCCAAAAACACATCGTACAATGAAGTGGACAACGACATAATCACAACGACAAAGTTTCAGGCATGTTCACAATCAGGAAAACCGGCAAAAGGCAATCTTTTGGTTTTCATCAATATATCGTACCAACGAAAGACTACATTCCGCTTAAAGAAAATTCCTGTCACAAGTGAACGATTTCGGTCAGTCCCGTAGACGTTCTTTCCAGAGGAAATTCACTTTACACAAATGCTTAATTCGTAATTTCACCGTATGCCGCAATTTTTAAACCAAGTATTCTGTCCAACTTATACGTCGTGAATTTTATGAGTACGTAGCGTTACCATCGTATCTTGGTACTACGAATGTTGAGATACACTAACATTCCCCGAGTTATGTCCTCTCAGTTCGTTCGTGCAGAAGTTGTTATCAACCCAGTATGTCATATGGATTACTTATCTGTTCCATCCACTCGAGAAGTCTGGCCCTTCAACAACAAACCGTTTGCATTTTTGCAACAACCCAAAGTTTTTCGTCAGGTGGTGGGTAGATTTTCGGACCAATCCGGAAACGGCGAATTTATGGTACAGGAACCACTCGAGCAAATTTGTTACTCCGGTACTACTGGCGTGCCAAGTATAGCCTGAAGTTGGCTCAAACAGCGTCAGTTTATTTCTGTGGTATCATCACAAGTTCAAATAGCCACAAAGACAGTCCGATAAAACAACGGTCCTATTCTACGGAAATTACAAAGCTAAGTTCATGCTAATCTATGAAAAATTAAGGCACCTTCCTTGACTTCTAAACCCAGAAGTTTGAAGCTGTTGTCCAACGGTCAATGTACCCAAATATTGGTTGTTGTGGTATGTTTACTGGTGGTTGATCAGGTGGCCATCAATTCATTCTCTGAGACCGTCGATTGTACCCTGAAGATGTCTACTCGACTGGGGACGAGACGCTTGCAAACTAATTGCCAAACTTAGAGAACAGCGTCTGATCAAACACCTGTTGTCCGACTACAGATAATATGATAGAAGTGAAGTTGCTCCGTTTGGTTCCCATTTTTCTGGACCCTATATGGGTCAAATATACTGTGGCTCTGTTTATCCGAGGTTAACTGCAGCGGAAATTCTCAAGGCTGAGAAGTGATTAATATTGAATGTTTTCAGCCATCGGTTGGGCTAGGTTGAGTTGCGCGCAAAATCCTAAAAGTTAAACAGCTCAACTGGAGATTTATCAACAAATGCGGGACTACCATCATCATTATAAACAGTCAGAACGGCATACTTGTTGTACAATGGTTGTAGTTACCACAGTTTCGTTCACCGATGACTTGGAAAGGTGGGCTAGGTAGCTTCTCATTGGAGGTGGGAGGTGATAAATTGGTGCATAAATGCAGATATATTAACTGACTATTAGATGGGGATTGTGAAGAGAGCTTTGCGTTGAAGGCAGTAGCCTGGATGCACGAGCGCCATGGAGGACGCGACTGGGCCATGTCTGACAATGTCTGAAACCATTGATGTGGCCCGTCTCGTGGTCCCCATCCAGGAAGACGGCAGTGATCAAAGCAGCTGAGTCCGCCGGTAATGGCTGTTATACTTGGCTACCAAGTCATTGTTTGACTTCCTCTGGTTCGTTTTCACCCTTTGCGTGGTTGTGCAAAAAGAACATACGAGGAAGTCGGTCGAACGGTATACTCAGCAAGTGGCCGGGTCAGCGCAACCTATGCAGTATGAGCGGAAATCCCGAGAGCAATTTGATCTCACAGGCATTAGATGCTGGTAGTGAGTCATGCGTGATCGTACCAATGACGATGTTGAAGAGGACAGATGAAAGAGGGCAGCCTTGTCTGACACCACTCAATGTAGTGAACTCAGAACAGAGCTTTCCGTAAACTTTCACACGGCCGCGGGACTTGACGCACAGAGCCTTAAGGTGGGTTAAGAATTTATGGAGGACACCTTTGCTCCACAGACACTGCCATGGTGCCTGATGGTCTACATATTCAAAGGCTGATTTCAGATCGAGAGACACAACCATTGTTGGTTGCTGGAAGCAGTATCGCTGTTTCAGAATCTGTCGGAGGGTGAAGATATGATCGATGTGTCCTCTTGCAGGACGGGACCCAGCTTGGCTTTCACGGATCACTCTCTCCCTGTGTTCACTCGAACTTCGAAGACCAAAGAGCACCTTCGATGCCACAGCCAGCAGGCTGTTTCCACGGTGGTTTTCAAACAGCGTCCGCGTGTCCTTTTTGAAGATAGGGATAACTGTCGACATGCACCATTCTGCAGGCACTTTCTCTTCGTCCCATATCACACCAATTAGTTTTGTCAGGTTGGTCATCAGGTATTCTCCACCAGATACAGACCGTCCGGTCCTTGTATCTTCTCACGTTTTAGGGCAATAATGAAATGATAAAATTTTACAAACCTCAAATTGTGAGATTATGCCGACTTCTATACACCGGTTTAGGAACAGCTAATTCCAGAAGGGATCTCAAAGTTCACATCGACTTACTCAAGTGGCCACAAGATGGCGGAACCCACGTGGCTGACTTGCGGTGACAAGGTCAAAGAACGGTTTATGTTCAGGTAAAAAAGATAGGCACTGTAAGCGCAAAACGTAAACTAAACGTTATACACAATGAGAATGCGATTAGAATCAGCGGTTCGCAAAGTGCATTTCGCTTAGGGATCGGTTGGCGTATGTTTGGAGAGGGGACTGAAATTCCTAACGTCAAAACAATTCGTTTTTTTTGAGAGCAATTTGATCTCACAGGCATTAGATGCTGGTAGTGAGTCATGCGTGATCGTACCAATGACGATGTTGAAGAGGACAGATGAAAGAGGGCAGCCTTGTCTGACACCACTCAATGTAGTGAACTCAGAACAGAGCTTTCCGTAAACTTTCACACGGCCGCGGGACTTGACGCACAGAGCCTTAAGGTGGGTTAAGAATTTATGGAGGACACCTTTGCTCCACAGACACTGCCATGGTGCCTGATGGTCTACATATTCAAAGGCTGATTTCAGATCGAGAGACACAACCATTGTTGGTTGCTGGAAGCAGTATCGCTGTTTCAGAATCTGTCGGAGGGTGAAGATATGATCGATGTGTCCTCTTGCAGGACGGGACCCAGCTTGGCTTTCACGGATCACTCTCTCCCTGTGTTCACTCGAACTTCGAAGACCAAAGAGCACCTTCGATGCCACAGCCAGCAGGCTGTTTCCACGGTGGTTTTCAAACAGCGTCCGCGTGTCCTTTTTGAAGATAGGGATAACTGTCGACATGCACCATTCTGCAGGCACTTTCTCTTCGTCCCATATCACACCAATTAGTTTTGTCAGGTTGGTCATCAGGTATTCTCCACCAGATACAGACCGTCCGGTCCTTGTATCTTCTCACGTTTTAGGGCAATAATGAAATGATAAAATTTTACAAACCTCAAATTGTGAGATTATGCCGACTTCTATACACCGGTTTAGGAACAGCTAATTCCAGAAGGGATCTCAAAGTTCACATCGACTTACTCAAGTGGCCACAAGATGGCGGAACCCACGTGGCTGACTTGCGGTGACAAGGTCAAAGAACGGTTTATGTTCAGGTAAAAAAGATAGGCACTGTAAGCGCAAAACGTAAACTAAACGTTATACACAATGAGAATGCGATTAGAATCAGCGGTTCGCAAAGTGCATTTCGCTTAGGGATCGGTTGGCGTATGTTTGGAGAGGGGACTGAAATTCCTAACGTCAAAACAATTCGTTTTTTTTTGCTGAATTTCGTTCACGAGTTTAAACGACACATCAGGCAGAGTGCAGCTACTTGATTTCCCCGTTAGAAAAGTGCTGGTAGATCCATGGATTACTTCTGGCATGAAGTATTTATCATGGTACTCTTTAAAATGCCAACTATGACTGCTGGTTATTCACACCTTCCGTCTTCCAGACAAAGGTAAGCAGTACAGAGAACTTAAACAATCTCTCGGCTTCTGAATGGTGCTAATCAATTTATCGAAAATCATATCCTCTAGAGCACTTCATTCCTCGCCAGTCATCTAGCGGAATATCGCTGCCAGAATTTCCCATCCAAGTACTCTGTCATCTTAAGCTTGTTAGGTTAATATGAAAAAGGATGGTAAATCGCGTTGCTGGCAAGAATTATACTCAATCAGTTGAGCTTACATTTGACTGGTTAGAATTGAGGGTATGGAATTGGCGAGCGTATGGAAAGCGGTCTCAGCTAAGCCGAGTTTACACGTGACTGTGTGGTTGTCAATCCATGTAGAATCCTTAGCAAGAACAGGGGGGTGGGCGTGGAAATTCTAACCCGACCAAAGTTCACAGCGTCTCTCTTAAACAAATATCTTAGCATTAGCTCATCCAAACAGACAGACAGAAAATTCAAATGATGTTCAAGAGGTATCATAAAGTGAACCGAACCAGAAGAACTAGACCCTAGGCTTGGCCCAAACACATCGGTCCAACGCTTGTTCACCCACCCTAACACAAAAATCCCTCGGCCGCCACTCAACAGATATTTAGCTTGACTTAGCTGAATGGTTATCCCTCCGCATTAAATCTCGACCAACCTCGGAACCTAGTCACTTGGCCTGACGAAGCTTTTCTGTCAAAAGCGAAACGCTAACCAACAATAAATCCACCGATGAGACCGGCGGTTCACCAGTCGAACGCCAACTCAGATTGTAGACCCTCGTATTGTAGATCCTCGTAACTATGGAACGAAATTTCTATGATCCATACGTCCTTCTGTGTCACTAATTAGTTACGAGAGTCATCATCAGATTCCAGTTGCGGGTGCCCCCTGCTTGATCATTACCTTTGTGTCAGGTGCTTATTTTCCTAAACACCCATTCGAGCTCTAACACCTTACTGTGTTCTAACTAGGAATTCCCATAGCCTCCTGGAGAAAAGGTTGAAGATACACAATTTGAGTAATGAAGATTAAGCCTGACAGACTGCTACCCCGAAAAACCATTTTGGACTCCACGAAATCTCGTTAATAAGTTGAGTTCGTTGACACAAATTTTAGAAACCGAAATCTCTGAAGGTGTGCATCGAAAGGTTAATTTTGTAGCTGTTCGTCGTAATCAGAAAACCATATCAATTTAACTTGCGTGGTACCAAGCTAGAAAGTAATCCCATTCATTTTATTACAGAATGAAACGACACCGTCGGCCTCCAAGGCAGTGTCGCCACTGCCACGAAAACTACCACAGTCAGCCCCACCCCCACCACCACCACCACCACTACCGCCACCGCCTCCGCCTCCTCCTCTACCCAGAACACCTTCAAAGACATCTCGAAAACTTGGAGAAACCAGCTTCCCAAGGCCACCGCAAAAGCGCCCTCCCGAAAAACAAGATAAATTCATTGCGCCTCCCAAACCACTACAACTGCCAAATAAAACATCCAATAAACCGACGGAGTTGTCAAGTAAGGCCCCCAAGATTGCACCACAGCCACCGCCATCAGCCGCACCATTTAAAGCGAAACCAGCTCCACCACGGAAACAACCACCTCCTTCAACAGCCGTCAAGGAACCGGCAGAGAAACAACCACCACAGCCACCCATTACATCTGCACCTGCCAGCACCACTAAAGCGAAACCGAAGAAGCCTCCAGTAAAAAAATCTAAGCGAATGGAATTATCGCGCCAACATGCGCCTACTGAATCTGTGCTGCAGGAAAGCCCTCAGGTTGCAGAGGAGATGGAGGGTCAATCGATCGTCGATACTACAACTGCAACTATACCAGTGCTATCTGAAGACTTACACGCACATGCCACTGGATCTCTTACAGATGGATTGGCCGAACAACATATCAGAAGGTCACCTTCTGAGGATCATTCTGACCATGGTGAGTCATTATCTATGGGGCAGCAAGAACCAACGATGTTGGCTGTTGGGGAAGAATGGCCGGAAAATGAACACTTGGAACTCGTTAATCAGACCCTGAAGGCTGAACAGGAAGAGACAGTGCAAATACAGACCATCCAAGAAGCGACATCCCCTGAAGCAGGTATTCATACTGAATTCACTGGTCTGGAAGAAGTTAGTGCATATAAGCCTGGGAGAGAAGAACTATCTCCTCTGATTGAGGAACAAACAGACACGATTTCAGGAGTATTGACTGGATTGAAGGCTGGGCCTGAAGTGGAATCTGCTAAACCAAAAACAATCCCATCAGAAAATAGACTGGCTGAGTCATCCAATGCACCACTCGATGGAACATTGGAGACCAAACAGACAGTTGTAGACGATGGAACTGTACTTAGCGGTGAACAGTCCATTTTAGAAGAGCCGTTGCGCGTCAGTACTGAGGCAAGCGTTATCGGTGGCGTATCTGTATTAACAGCAGAGACCGATGAAGGTTCAAAACAAGCGGCTGCACAGAAGCTAATACTTCAGTCCGATGCTGTTACGGACAAGGTTTCCGAAGGCGAAAGACTAAGAAAGCAAGTAAACGATGAAAAAATCGTTGATGTGGAGCTTGTCAGGTCAGAACCTGAAGAACAGTTTATCTCTGAGAGAAGTGAAACTGTGAAGAGTAAAGCCACTAGTGGGCCGCATCTCCAAGCTTCAGAGGAAGACCTAGGTGAAATGCAACAAAAGCCGCAACAAGTCCACACCGGTGATGCTCTTCAATATCAAGTGCGAGATAGTCAACCATTAGAAATCACTCAGCCAACAGAATCTGTTGGACATGTTTCAGGGCCCAGTATTTCGAAAACGACTTTGAAAGATGAAAGTGGAGCATCATTGGAATCGCCACCCGATGCTCGTGAACCACCCGGTAAGACCACCGAAACGAACAAAGTTTCTGAACAACCATTAGAGGATCACATTCCCGATGCAGTTAGCGAGAAAGCAATGATATCGCTGAGTCCAAAAGTATCTTCGTTTAAAACGGCCTTGGAGGATAAAGCTTACAAGAAGCAAGAGCTGCGAGGGGAGGAACGGAGAGTGAGCGGGATATCGGTAGAGACCTTGCCAACCCAGAAATCAGAAGATATTCCGGGCATAATTCCAACAGAGCGAAAGCGTGATGAGCGGTCAGAAGTTACTCGCACATTAGAGGAGCCTTTCGTTGCTTCCTTTTCCCCAACACCGCATTTGCTTCAGGAGCGCAAACACGACGAACAACCATCAATCACTCGTAAGGCATCACTCGATAACGTTCTGGAACCGCAAAATCCGAGCGAGGATGTAGAACTGAGAAAATCAGCCGAAGATAAAATCATGGATGGTAGTATGTTACCTGTCACATTACCTAAACAGCCTACAGATCAACATGACGAACAGGTGCGCACTGAAGCAACAGACGTGCCTGAAGAACTTGGAGCCCCATCAACCATATCCATTGAATCTGATCATAGTACTAGGGCATCCGCACAAGAAAGAAAAGTCGACCTCAGTAAGCCCGTCACCTCAGGGATTTCTGTAGGGGAACCTGCAGCAATAGAGCAAGTGGCTGAAGATGGACGATGGATGAAACAAAGGATGGATGATGGTATTGACGAAACGGCACCATTGGGAACATCAAAGGCCGCACCGATTGAGGACCAGAGAGAGATTGTAGTGGGTAGAGGCGAAAGTCCACAAGATCAAAGTACCATGGCCTCGATACAAGAGAGAGAGACCGACCTCGTAAAGCCTGTCTCCTCGGAGATCCCTGTAGGTGAACCAGCAGCAGTGGCGCAAGTGGCTGAAGATGGACGATGGATGAAACAAACGATGGATGAAAACATCAGCGAAACGGGATCACTAGAAGCATTAAAATCAGAGAAAATCGATGGCCAGAGAGACAGCGAAAACCAACTGGCATATGTCAAATCAGAATTGATACCTTTACCAACCACTTTGACACCTTCAGTTAAAGAACTTGAAGTTTCACGAGAACCATTACCTGAAAAGCGGATCTCCGACACTGTCATTCGAGAAGCGGAAATAACGAACGTGGAGTCCCGTAGTGGGGGTGCTCAACCAATGAACTACGATAGACCGGAAACTTTCATGGTCAGATCTGATTTAGTTGGACCGCCACTTTACAGAACGCAAGAGCTTAGTGAAGGTGAGCCTAAACATATATTAATCGATGAAGAATTACTACTCGATTCCTCATCACCACTTCCAAGCGCAACTGCTGCAATGGGCAGAGATGTAGAGAAGACTGAAACGTACATACCACTCAAGGATAATTTGGGCGAGCCTTCTTCGGGAGAGGGTCTTCATTTGAGTGAAAAGAAACAGATCCATGGAGCACGTGGAATAATGAAAGTCCATCCTCATCTAAAGCTTGCAGGACCTGGTTCAGACCATCAACTTGCAGAAAGAAAGCAATATGAATCCAGTAGAATTCAAGCTACTAGTGAACCTATAGTTGTCACTAGAACGGAGGTTGAAACCGAAATGACTATTGAAACTGCTTGTAAAAACGACCGACTCATGACAAATGTGCGCGTACGTGTATCATCTCCGGATTTGCTAACAAGAGACGGTGGAGCTTCACCTTTATCTAGCCCTTCCTTTGGAGCTACCTCAGAAACTGAAGGCTGTGAGGATGGTGAGCCATTTGGTACGCTCACCCTTTCGGTAGACATTCAAGTTGATGTCAAGCTTGGCAATGATGGAAAACATTATATAGAGCTGCAGCAGCATGGTCCCGAAGAAAAACCATTTGACGAAGATAATCATGGAGAAGCAACCGAAGGGAATGTTTTTGATACGGCATCTGTAAGAGGAAGCAGCTCAGCAGGTAAGGCACAGAACCTCCAGGCGCAAACTGGTATCGTTCTTAAAACTCCTCTTAAAAAGACATCTGGTTCCCGTCCACAATCAGCTTCATGTATCAGATCGTCTTTCCGAACTGAATTTAGCTTCAACCAGCCAGAAGGACCTGCTATCCACTCAGCTAGAATTTCACCATTAACAAGTGTTCCGGACTATGAAAGCTCTCCACCGCCAATCAAAACTCGGTCACCTGACTATGAGTTAGACAGAACTGTCTTTGATAAAGGCACAACAACCAGCCACTATCGCGTCTCACCAAAAACCGGTGAGCACTGTGCTACGATTACACCGACTCAGCACATTAGTGGGAATGAGTTGAAGCCGACCCGGGGGCCACAAGCGCGCGGAAGACGGGGACAATCGGCCAGAGTTTCAGCGCGTGCAGCGTTGCTGGACTCCGGACAAAACTATGGCTTCGTGTCAAAAATAAGCGTGGAGATTGGGCCTCTGGTTGAAGATAGTCTAATACAACCAGATACACTCAAGAGTCAACCTGCAAAGGAAAATGTGGTCAACCTGATTGCACTACCTGGCTCGACTAGTGAGATGGCACCAGCCGTTTCAACCAAAGTGGATCCAATAAAGAAACCGGAAGAACCAAAGTTGGTCAGCTTGAAATATTTCACTAGTGTGGACAATGAGCCACTGGTGACAAATGAAATGGATGTGATACGAAAGAAAACGGTTCAAGTTCTAACAGATGCGTCTGTTGTTGAGGAAGAAAACACAAATCCAAATACACAGACTGCAGACTCTCTGGTCACACCAAGAGAAGTGGTCGTTTCTAATGAGTATGAATTGGAACTGGAACCAACGTATTCTGAACACACATCTCCTGGGCCGTTCTGCTCCAACAAATACGAACTAGACACTATTAGCCCAATACATCCAGATGCAATTTCATCAGTCAAGGCATTCGAGGCCAAGGAATATACACCAATTGGTCTGTCTCCCGAAGCTGAAAATGACGAAAGCCTGCATGTGGAATTAGTAAGGCGCGCCCTAGCAAAAGCTTCTATGGAAGTCCAAAGGTCAGTTGATTCTGAATTCAAAGATGAAAATGATCACCGGCAATCCTATATAACTTCGGGGTCTGACCCGCAAGCCTTTACTGACCAACTCGTTGACCCATCAGAGACACACGGCCGGCAAGTCCCACGAACAAATGCCGCTGATTCAACATTGAATTCGTTATTAACCTCATCAGTTATAGAAATCGTGTTTAAAACTGGTCGCGAAGGTCAAATTGAACTCGACACAGTCAGTGGAATCAACATACGCACGTCTATTGAGAAAAGTCATCAGTCACTTCCAAGACAAGACGGCTATCCAAGTGGTCGACACCGACCGGTCTCTCCAAGTTCACCGGAGACCACTGAGAATGTTAGGTCACAGCAGTCGGTGACAGAACAGAGGATTTTGTCTCCTATGGGTAAAAGAAATTCTCATGAAATACACATGCAGTTGTCAACTTCACTTGATGCGTATGCACCAGGACCGCTTTGCAAACCTGATAAATGCCCTCAAGAACTAGCCATGCTAAAATCTTCCGAGATCAAATTATCAGCATGTAGGTGTGCTCTAAACAAATGCACTTGCTTTGAACATGGCCAAAGCACAACTCCTGGTCAAGGAACAAAAATAATGAAACTGTCGTCAGTTACCAGCCAACCAGATAAGGGTTGTATTCTTAATCTGGCCGTATCTGTGATACATGCAGATGAGGGGGAACTTGAACTCACAACACAGATTAGTACGTCAAAAAAAGTGAGATCAGAAGATGGTCATCGAGATAGCCGAAACACTTCTCCAAATGTAAGAGGACTTGGAGAAGCGCACACAGCTAGGAACAGTCCACAAACACCAACCGGTCTGGCTAATTTGGATGATTCCACAGTTGCACCAAAATCCATTACATTCAATGTGTCAACTACCACGAAAATAGATATTCCAAAACAGAATATGGTAAACTGTGACCTTTTTCACAGTAATGAACAACACCTTGTGATCTCAAACCCAGACAACAGTGAACTACCAGTTCCGCCTCAACGGCAGTCCAATATGTCACCACAACCCTTGCAAAAGCACAACGTAACCGGCGTTAAGTTCGTGCAAGAAATCACGCAAGAATTGAACGCCAATGAACTATTCCATTCTGCGTGCCCAATCACCCTGGAAAATGAAACCACAATATTTGAAAATTCGAACAACAGCGAACGCCGAAAAAGCAGAACAAATCAGCTTTACCTTCCACTGAACCAGCCTATCTGTCCATCAAAGTCAAGTGATGAATTTGATGGTGTAAACCATAACTTGGTTAACAGCACTGTGTTACGTTTGTGCAACCGGGAACTCGGTGGAAAAGTGTTAAAAACTGAGTTCGAAACAGATTTGGGAGTAGCCGGTCATAAAAAATCTTTGGATACTTTGGTCTATGATGTTCAGACCAAACTGAAGTCAAAGCCATGCACAAGTTGTCGTCCTGAGGAGTTTTCATTTGGCAATGATAACTGCCGATGCTGGTCGAATAACAACACAGAATTGCTTGATTCAGGAATATGGCAATGTTTCGGACAAAGGGCGTATGCGGACGATGCAGCTTCGGCATTTCAAATGCTGAATGTAAGACAAAACATGCACTCTGGACACACAACAAATGTGAGGGAATATAGCATTACGTCAGATGAACAAAAAGCCGTCGGTTATCTTCATGAACACGCGTTTTTCTGTCCCAGCGTACGATTCTCCACTGCCCTCTCGGCATGGGAACAAAGTGCTAGTGGTGTTGGTTGTCGGTTTGGACGCCTAGTGGAAGAACATTCGTTACCTGTGGGCTATGGGTTTACAGAAGCTGACGTGGCATCCAACACACCGCATCGCTCTGTCAGTCAACGGTGGGAGGATTCACGTCCAGTTTGCCTGCTAGTGCAAGATGAACTAATTTCCGAGAGTGAATCGACCTTAAGACAGTGGAACCAACCGTGCAGAGATTCACCTTATTCGACAAGAACCAGTATCACAAAGGGTTCACATGTGCAAGGCGGTTTCTATTTGACAAACACCGGTATCACGAAAACCCACTCACCTCTTTTTATTGCCGTACAGAAATCAGTTATTCCAGGGGTTGCTATACAAGTAAGAGAGTGGTTGGGAACCTCAGTTACCCTGTTTCCGACCACAAATGAACATCCGTGGCCGGAATTCCGTATACCACTTGAAACTAGTTGCCCTAATTCAGGCAGGTGCAGAATGACCTCCACTGATTCTGAATATGGAATCACCTTGCTTCTTAATTCAATAGAGCAATGGTTATTACTGGAAGATAGTGAAGTCGAGGTATCACCGGCTGATATGTTCTTTCTCCACAAACATCGCCATTCAGTGACCTTCCTACGAACACAATCACAAAACGACAAAAGTCTTAGAAGCAATCCAAGCGCTCAAGTAAGCGAGAAATCTCAGGACATTGAGGTCCCAGCTGAACCTATTCAGGAAAAATCTGGGGCATCAAAAAAAAGTAGCTGTCATGGACCTCGAATGTGCTCATCGACTGCTTTGGATGACGGCAATGAACGGATGCCTTTTTATAAGAATTTGGCATGGAACTATCATCAAATTGCGTCCACTGGTCATCTTCGAGACAGTTTGTCAGAGTGCTCGTCAGATATGTTCCAGGAAACCCAGTTAAATTTCAAACTGAGATACAGCGAACCTGATAGTGAAAAACACTGGAAAAGACACCAGGCATGTAAAATGGAAGCTTTCAACTTTGTGTCCATTCTTAAGCCTTCTACTTGCCTATTGCTTGAGGTACTGTGCTACAGTGTTCTTGAAGAGACCAACTGTGAGTCAGTAGAAAATCTCATTCCCTTATTGGGAAGCATCGAACCAGTGCCTACCGATACGCAGGAATCTATTGACTCGTCAGCAAGCTTTGCAACATCCATACCTCAAGAGAAGGATTTGTCCAGGTCAAACAGCTCAGTTGACAGTGTACTGTCCTCAAGTACACTACCGATTTGCTTAAGGCAGCCCACTTACAATACGGACGAGCATTCTTCTTACTTATCGTCATATGGATGTGGGAATTCGGTGTCAGGCAGCAAAACGAATAACGAACTATACGCCCCCTTTGATGACGAGACTAGTTCACATTCAACAGATTCCTACGGAGAGAAGAAACGTTCGTTTGTTTCACGAACAGACCCTGATATGAGAGCTCATTCATTGGACCGACATATGGTGCCGGCATTTAATTACGTAGCAGAAGTGCGGAAACTCAAAAGTACCATTCATCTATGCGACATGTGCCTTGAAACAAACTGCCCAAAAAGTTGTGACCCAACAGTTACGCTTTCCAGTTTGCTTACAGTACCCACAACTGGCAGACAAAGTCGGCCAGAATCTCAACGTAATGGAATGGATTTCCCACCGAAAGGTGCAAATTCACATTTGATTCACGATTATTCTTCTCAGATAGAGCCAACAACTAAACCGAAGCAGTTCAAAATTCATGGGAACAAAGAAACGCTGTGGTCTTCTCTGGCAGTCAAGCTATGCAATACAACCGCAGTACCGATTATTGTTACCCAAAGTTACTCTTTTAATACTGTGGATAGGTCCTCAACGTGTGATAGCTTGCAACACTCTGGTCATAAATCAAGTGAATATGATGAAACAGTGCATAAGCTAACAGAGCCAGATGAACCCATGCAGTCAAACCCGCTAACAATTGACAGATATTCAACACACAAACACGATTCACTTCCAGTCATGGCCTTACTGGAAATCACTGAACACTGTGCCATGAGTGATGGAATGACTGAAGTTGGTTCCAGAGAAATGGACAAAGTGTGTTGGCTAGTTTCCACCGAATCACGCGTGTGCATGGATTCAAACCCCAATACAAGTTCCTCAACAGCTGGAAATCACCCATGCATGAGCACTACCCCATTTCGATGTCTCCTCAGTTTATGCTACGTTGATTTATTATCTGCTGAGAGCATCCGCCTTTTGGAACCCGAAGGAGTGGTTGTTAAGCCCCAGTTTGTCGAACAATGGACATTTCAAGTAGCTTTCGAGTTGCTTGCTGCGTATTTTGACACATTTTTCCAGTATCCACATTGTGCATTATCTGACTACTGTTTTAAAACCTGCCTTAAAATACGACCAAATTTTCGCGGGCCTGAATCTGTAGACATAGTGTCCGATCGGAACGTGAGGAAACTGAGCAACGCAGCTGACTGTCGGATAAATGCCGTCCAATCTACCAGCAAAACGTTAGCAAAACTAGCATCGAAAACTTCAGTTTTGCCGACCGATCAACTTACATGTCCTGATTTTCTGCCATCCAGCGCTCAAACGACACGACAAAGTCTACCGAATGACCACAAGACAGCAACAACAACGCTGTACAAGCATGGGGATTTGATGGGCTACAACTATAACCGTACGCAGGTACACCTTACCCGGGGCGTCGAACAGTGCACGTTCAAAGCTGCGTATCCGTCAACGGCTGACTATTCACGTTCGCAGCCGACTCGATTGTTGAAACTGATAAAAACCGCTTTGGAAGCACCGCTGCGACCGGCTTGTGCACTGAATCACTACACTGTACAAACTGTACAACCACTACTGAAAGTTTACGCATTCAGTGAGCTGATCGGCAACTCCTTTCCCTTATGCCACACCGGCACTACTCAGAAACAAAGTTGGTGCACTATTCTGAAGTCTGGGTTGAATGTGGATTCACAGGATTCCAGATGTCTTCCACTAAAAGGCGTTGCAATCCCACACCTTCCCACCGTTCGGCGATTGTCACTCCCTCTCACCATTATCAACTCCATGGAACTGGTATTTAGTGTTCCGCTCACCGTGAAACCATTCAAGAAATTGAAGGCGCATCGTTCTATTCCTCGAACGTCAATAGCTTTAACCTGTCTTATAAAGACTGCTTATCTAACCAAAAAGGTCTCTCTTGAAAACACATCGTATGACCGGGCCAGGACAATGACAGACACCTCACACCAAACCATGGATCTGACAACCGCGTCTGAGTTGTCTAACGGTCACCAACGTCCGTGTTCAGTACCCGAAAGTTTCTCTACACTAACTAGATCAGATATCAGCAAAACCTTTCAGACATCTATACCAGAAGCTGAGGGGCTTGAAGGATTCTCCGAGAACAGCTATACTGGCGAAGTAAGCATAAATTCAAATCGCTTATCAAATGTCCTTCCATCATCCGATAGGAATAACAAAAGAACTCCACTTGCTAAAGGCAAAGTCAAACAACATGCACCAACTTCCGTAACTAGTGTTGTGTCCAAGGTGGAAAAGCCCAACTCATATGGTAAATCTATGGAGAATTTAGTGAAAGGAGACCGACGACGTCAGTGGTCGATTCCACCAGTGAAACAAATGGTCAAAACGATTTACGCAGGTGGTAAACAAATGTTGAAACCAGGTAAGACGGGAAAACAGACGCGAAAAGCTGATCCCTTCACAGGGTCCCTATTGCCTGTTGCTGGTGATGTTGGTGCCGACACTATGGAAAAACCAGTTAAATCCTCTCCGGTTTCGCACCATTCGTCTGGAAATTCCAAGTCCTTCATGCACCGAGCTGGCAGGCATATGTCACGCAAACAGAGATCGTCAAGCTCTAGCTCAACAGCTAGTCGGCTGTTCCAGACACTGAATGACGCTGATTCAAGGAAAACGGAACCACCAGGCACATCGCCATACACAAAAAGCCGCATTCCCATTCCTGTTCAACATCCGATCAGTATGATGAACGGTTGTTGGAACCGACTCTCACTCTTTCAAACGGCTCGAAACCAAACTAACGCACCCGTCCTAGTACACGGCTCAGATAGCACTTGTGAGCATAGAATTCAGTGTGATCGAAAAATAAGTTCTATTCTGTATTCTAGTGCGACCAGCTCATGCAGTCACACTCCAGCCAGTGCGCTTTCAAGTTATGCTATTAAACGGAAGTGTTTTACCAATCTTGGCAAAACGCAAAAGAGGGAAACCGCCAAAGCGTTGAATACCTCGGATACGCGAAGCAGAAGCGCACTGAAGCAGGTCTCACTTAATAGATTTCCCTCTGTGTCTAGTCGAATTCCAAAGCTTATCGGTGATGACCCGAATTCAGCTGGGAACAAGCATTCTGTATTCGCGCGAATTCGAACAGGCATCAGTGCTGATCACCACAAAGTATGCGACATTAACCATATATGTATGGCAACCCCTCTGAAAAAAACAGCTGGTCGAAGTATGGTCACGCCGAAGCGTGAAAAAAAGTTCAAAACCAGTAGAAATAACTAGAAATGTATTCATGTACCGATCAAGCAAAATAACGCAGTTTGAGGATCCTAACTCTCTCAACATCAGAGAACAACACCGAACGAAATGCATAGAAAGACTTCAGGTCAATGAATCCCGTTCGTCAAACGACTACGAAGTAGTGTTTGCTTTGAACCATTTTGTTTGGCTACTCTTTTACCTGCAAATGCAGCACACGTCTGACCTATATGTCAACTGAGTGAATATGATCCCAACAACAGCAACAACAACTCAGTCATGCACTGTTTCAGCAAAAGAGGAAGCAAATGCATTTCCATATGCATGTATCTGTACGCTGCTTCCTTTCACACTGGTTTCCACAAATACTGCATGATTTTTGTAAACAGTACTTCTTCTGCACAAGCGTGTTTTAGCATTTGGCTGGCACGAGTTCTCGTAAGTAAACCCACAAAAGCATCCCACACAATAGGTAGTGGTCATATGGTCAGACCGATGTGTTTACCTGGGCCATATGAACACCGGTCCAGTGCACGATACGGAATTCATAGCTAATCCGTGGAAGCAAATGTGGTTAACCCCGCTAGTGTGTTCTTGGTGGAAAATCCTGAGTGGGTTCAGTATCGTGAGTGGTTTGCTACATTATTATGATGGATGCCATAAAAACTGTGAATGACTGCGAATGAATATGAATAGTTTGTGGCCATTTGAGCAAACAGACAGCCTGAAATAAGTTTCAAAAGCACAGTAACTCCCACCGTTGAAGTTGAGGTGTGTAGTTGCTCTGGCATTTAAACCGACATCCACTTACAATTTACTTGTGCCACTACGCTGAAGTCTTGATGCGACCCTATAACATTAACAAGACTTATTTGAAGGTATTCAGATAGGGGCAAGTAAAGTCGACACATCACGAACAAGCAGGTACTATTCAACCACAGAAATAGATGATAGAGAGGAAAAATATTGAAGAATGGGAAGGGGAGTAACGCCGCAAAAATGCGACTCATCAGTCTGCCTGTCAATCAATCAATCTATCTATCTAATCTTATCTAATCTAATCTAATCTAATCTAATCTAATCTAATCTAATCTAATCTAATCTAATCTAATCTAATCTAATCTAATCTAATCTAATCTAATCTAATCTAATCTAATCTAATCTAATCTAATCTAATCTAATCTAATCTAATCTAATCTAATCTAATCTAATCTAATCTAATCTAATCTAATCTAATCTAATCTAATCTAATCTAATCTAATCTAATCTAATCTAATCTAATCTAATCTAATCTAATCTAATCTAATCTAATCTAATCTAATCTAATCTAATCTAATCTAATCTAATCTAATCTAATCTAATCTAATCTAATCTAATCTAATCTAATCTAATCTAATCTAATCTAATCTAATCTAATCTAATCTAATATCCATTGCCAAGAGGCAGTTACCTCTTCCATCTGCAGGATACAATGTTCGTTTATTTTACTATCCTTTGTGAAAGCACTGGACTCAGTGTGTTCTTTACTCAGGCATACTCAAGCCAACCACCGCTACGTTGCCGTCAGGCATTTGAGCCAAAGGCTTTGGTTAGGGGCCACTATTCCGCTCGCTACATCAGAGGGCTCCGAATCGAAGAAACTCTCTTTGCAATTAAAGGTACTTATTTCGAAAAGCAGGAAAAGTTACAGGACGAAATAAACCAATCAACAAATCACTCATCCACGAATTTTTTCTTTGCACGAAGGTACTCGTTTCACGCAGCTAGACAAAACCCCGGATAAAGTAACTTGCATAATGCCACAACATGTGGCCAAAATGTTTTTCCTCAGCTGGTCAAGCGTCCTGAACCTGTTCTTTCAGACCGAGGCACTCACACAACAAAGTACAGCGGAGATTACTAGTCATCTAAGCACCCGGCTTTAACTCAACCACCAATTTCCTTACTGTTCACACAGATGCAGACAAACAACTCGGGCATAGTTAAGTGGCATGCTATCTGGATGCCGCCACATTGAGCTGCTTCCTTCTAAGAGCTTGCGGTTATATAACAGTTGTTGTGAAAATAATGATAACGAATACTGAAACACCACATGCCAGTCACTCTAGGTAGGAAAGAAAGACTGAAAAACATTTCTGGCACTAGGTCCTGTCCAAACCGTGGGATTTGGGCTGTGATGGACATAAGAAATTCTACTGATGTGCATTGAATCTAGCGGAAAACAGGGAGCTCGAATGAATGAAGTTCAACACTGGCCAATCCATACCAATGGCCACACGATTTGCAAACGTGAAAAACGTGGGTTGCTTTTCGCCATCAGAAACAGGCAGATACTACTACTAGAGTTCACTAGAGAAACAATGCTCACTTTGTTTCAAATTTTTCAACAGCATGCGATAAGGTGTTGAACGAAACTGTGTATACTGCCCTCTGAGTTCTCTTCGGATTCCCGAGTAAGCAGAGAATTCAGTCGTCATCGCGCGTTGTCTGCCAGTCTTCTTGGCATCGCACACGCTTTCAGTCTTCCGGTCTCAGCATGTACCAGCCTTACATCAACTGAATACCGGCGTTCACAGCGTTGAATAGCCTTTGCACTCTATATCCAAACTGATAATAGTGCTGAACGAAACTAGAGCGTCTCTGGTCTGATTCATACGTTGGCGTCCGCACCGTGATTGAAGTGTCGCATGACTCCCATTCCACGTATCACACGCCTAACTAGTCAGTTTGGAGAAAACCGAGATCAGCTGTTCTGACATCCGTATTAGCCTTAGTGAGTGAATCACATCCATGACCAGCCGACTCAGCCACATGATCACTTGACCACAAACACAAGGATGAGGGAAAGACTAACATGAGTATCTTCACTGAACGCACACGCGTTCGTGATTCGAGCAACTGAATCTCCTGGGTAAGCCCAAGAATCAAACTTTCCGTTTAGCAGTAGCACCACTTTTTGAGGCAAGCAGTAAGCCAACATACTAATTTCTTTTTTAGCTTGGATTCAGCTTGGTCAATTCAGGAATCAGTGATCATAACTGTGATGAGAAAACAATCACAATGAGGCTGGATACTTGGAATGCAGTGTTTCCGAGCACGCATATGCTTATTACTGTTTGATATCAGATTTTGCATACCTTTGGAAATAGTCCATCCGTTAGACGTAAGCTCAAGCGAAGTTTGTTTGGAAAGGGAGGCGTGCTGGAGGTAGTAGACTAAAAAATGCAGAATTCAAGTGCAGGGGGAATACGCAGAAGCTGTTCCAGCTAATCCGCAAAGAGGACCCGGGAAATTGTCTGTTAGTGAGTGAACCAAAAATAATATTGGAAATCTCACAAATAAAAAAGCTAGATCGCTGGTACGAATATTTTCAACAGAAGCCTATTCGTATTTCTGCTACTATGCCTATTACTCAGTCGACCCGATCATTCTGATCTGTGGGGTATGAGTTTAGTTCCCTCATCTTCTGATGAGATACTAATTGACCCTTTGGTTTTAAGTCAACATCAGTCTTACGAGCTTCCACTAACATCACTCATTGACGTCAGTGTATCTTTGCGTTCTTGAAGGAACCTAAATTAAAAACTAGAAAGCCTTCCGGGCATCTGCGGCCCATCATTCATCGTATCTCTACTCAGAATAGTACACGAGGCGACTGTTCCAACCACACATGTATCGGGCTTACGACCGTCAAAACATGACTATCGAGTTTAATAAAACTATGACGCCTAACCACGGCTAGTTGGACTCATATCCGAGAGCAGCAACCAGAATTTCACTCAGGTGGGGGATGAATCAATTACATTTCTCATTACATCAAATACTTGAGTAGCGCCATATGTGCCGAAGGCCAGCAATTGCGGCCTCTTCGACTTCAAAGGCACCTTTGATTCCATTCTGAGGCAAGATGACCCAAGTGGTTAGAGCGCGGATTTACTAACCGGAAGGTCCGTGGCTTGAACCCGACCTCTGCCTCTCGACTTCACCTGCCTAGGCTTGGGCTACCTGGTAGTATCCCAGCCCTTGTGCTTCCTTCGGGTGGCATGGCAGTTAGGCGCTGAAAGGGTGCCAAAGCTGAACGATTTTTTTCCATTTCCGAATCTCCTACATATGTTTGGTTAAAGAGGGACGCTCTGAAGTTTGTAAACATATTTCGTGCTCTCTATTGCAAGCCACCTGACCGTGTGAAAGCTTAAGACGAACTATCCAGGAGTTTTCATTCAATTAGTGAGGTTTGGAAAAGGCTGTCCCCCTTCCTTTCTTACCTCGCAGTCGCTAATATCAGAGTGCGCAATTCAAGGGGTCGACTTTGAAGGGAAACGCAGACACTATCATCTTGACGACTACCAGTCCGTACAATCAACTCTAGATAGAATTCCGGATGTTTTTTCCGGTTTCGTGACGCGCTTTGGAAAATGGAAAACCACTGCTTCAGGATTTTAAGACCCTCTGCACCCTTCTGAAAGATCAGGTAGAGAAACTTGAGTTTGTTGACCGTGACCTTACCGGGAAGGAAGGATTTGATGCCCACGCTATCAGGGGGCGGACGACCTTTGCGAAATCAAGTCGATTATGACGTCCGAAACTAATCTCATTGAAGGACCATAGCTACATTACCATTGTAGGAGCAGTCCTACTCTGTGGTTGTGAAAATTGGACACACCATTTCGAGGACACCAGACTGATCCAAACGTCTTATCATTGGCGCCTTCGGAGTACAACACGCACGTTTGCACGAGTAAACTACTAAGACACCCCGAGCGACCAGACTAGTCCTAAATGTGGTTACGTTGAAAGTATACATCGAATCACCTAGGGAATCGACAGCCACACAATAAACAGCGACGATTGGTTTATTTACACAAACTTCACAACTATGATTCACAGGTCCGCTGTAGCAAATGAAGACACTTGAACTGTATCTTGGATGGTAATGCGATAAGTTGGGTGCGGCAATTCAAATAAGCATCTTGATAGACAAAACTAGCTGTCAGCCGGTTAAGGCTATCTACGACCAATAACACAATAAATGTTGTCCATCCGGGCCAGGATCAATTTGATTTGAGTTCATGAGTGAAACTGAAAGGAGACCATCTTTTTAAGCCAAAAACGACCACTAAATATTCTTGTGGTGCAGAACATCCCAACAAATGCCTGGACGTGGAATTCGTGCATCGGACTTCATTACATCTGACATCACTCAGCTGCACAAACAGGAGCATGAGGACAACCTGGCTTTCGTTTTCATGGCAATAGAAGACTGCGCTCTACACGTTTCATATGAGACCACTTATTGTGGGTCTGTTGTCAGTGACTCGAATGGTCGGACCTCTCCCAGTTAGATAAAATATCGGAACAGACCACTTTTGTTAAGTCATTGTGGTGGTATTTTTAAGA